TTTTAAATAACAAAATGTTGCCTTTCAATAAAAATCACGTATTATTTTTATTTAAAATCCGATGTTTCTTTCAAAATCCATTAACCAAATAAAAAAATAGAATCAAAAAAAAAAAATTAGAAATTCCGGCTAATATGCACCACCGTCGTTCGAGTAACAGCTAAGCGTCGACTAAGACGTTTATAATACCTCTTAATACCTAAAAAAGTTATTTAGAGATAAATACTTAAAAATTTATAGAAAATTTAAGACAAATCAGGAAATTAAACTTAACAGTAATAGCATAATTCGCACAACAACGGTAGTGCAAACCACGGTTGTGCGTGAAAGTTAAAATTAAAGGAACATTTAGTAATACTATATATTTGAGATTATGGTAGCGAGTTTTATGACGTGACATTTTATCGCGGAAAAAAATACTTCGTTTGTTTTTGGTCCACGACAAAAAAGTTGAGGAAGAGTTCATGTTAAGTAAACTCCAATCCCAACTTTGTCGGCGTACTTTACTAACTAACAGTGCGTTTTGTATTTATGTGCGCTTTCTCTATGCTATCTTTCTAACTTGACTACTTCTGACTTTCATTCTGACATATCATCGTTCTTCCCAAATCACCTTACCCTCGGTCCGTAAAGCAGGTTATGACGCTCCTTGAAGAGCCGAACTTGTCTTTGTTGGCCATAGTAATGTGGCCTCTATATGGCAATTAGCCGGAGGAGGATAAGCCACAATACCAGAGTTCATGTTAAGTGAACTCCAATCATAACTTTGTCGGCGTACTTTAGTTAGGTTAGCCTAACTAACAAAACGTTGTGCAATTCTACACAATGTACTGTTATCAAGTGAACTCTCCAAGTCTTTTTCGGTTCAACTAACATCACTATTGCACCTTCTAACATTATGTGCAATCCTGTCCGCTTTCTCTATGCTATCTTTCTAACGCGACTACTTTTGCCTTTCACTCTAACGTATCTTCGTTCTTCCTAAACTCACCTTACTCTTAATTCGTAGAGCGGGATATGACGCTCCTTTAGGAGCCGAAACAAGTCTCTGCGGACCGAGGTAATGTGGCCTCCACAAGGCAATTAGCTGGCGGAGGATAAACCACAAAACCTTAAGTGAAAGAAAGATTATAATAATTAATATACTTCATTATAATTATTGATGTGGTTTGATGACGTCAAAGTGTTTGGTGATGCTATACAAAACCATTTTCATCGATTAAATAATAATAATAATAATAATAATAATAATAATAATAATAATAATAATAATAATAATAATAATAGTAATAATTGCATTGAACATTTTTTGCATTAAAATTGTAGAAAATAAAATCTGGTTGGGGTGGACATTCTTGTTGATAATTAGCTCATGTTCTAATATATATATATATATATTTTTTAAGTATATATCGTGTTTGCATCTTTACCATACAAGCCATCATAAGTGGTATATACCACTTATGATGGCTTGTATATATACGATGAAAATATGGTTTACAATTTGGACAGAAAACCAAAGAATGATAAAGCTCTAGTTGACGAGTTGGAACTGTCAACTACAACTAAATTCAAGCAGTGATTAGCACAAGGCACATACAGAGCTTTCGGTTTTGTTTGTAGAACTCGTGACAGGACACCAGAATTCTCTCCTTTCATATTAGAATCATTAGCATTCGACTGGCCCCGACAGTCTAACATACTCAGTTTCAACTCTTTTGCTTGCTCTAAAAATGTTTCAAAAAGTCTTTTTAATTAAAAAAATAGTGTAGCTATAAGTTTTGTGTTGCAATGGCATCTGTGTATCGTACATCGAAGTTAGAGTGATTTGCAGCAAACGTACATCGAAGTTAGAGTGATCAATTACGTAAGTTTAGTTGAATCTGCACAATAAGAGAAAAATCTGTCACTAATGTTAAATGTGCATAAAAAGAGAAAAATCTGTTATTACAGTAAGAGTAAAATTTTTTAGTAAATTTTTTGTTGTTAATTTTTTCTATATGTTTTTAAAGATAAATTAATCTGTATCTTTTTAATCTATGTTAGTTTTGATATTTAACAGAAAAATTAGAGATGAAAAAATTAAAAGTTTCTTTTTTTAATTTAAAATTTTTATTTACATAACATAAAGTAGTCTTTGAAGTGTTTCAATAGTTGATCCATTTTGAAGTGTTTCAATAGTTGATACATATTGAAGTGTTTCAATAGTTAATACATTTTGAAGTGTTTTAATAGTTGATACATTTTTACCTCAAGTACTTTATTTTACACTAATATAAGGAAAACAGCTATGTTTTCCTTAAAAAAGCTAAAACAACAACAAAAAGCAATATATTTACCAGAATATATAGATATTTTAAATAAGCATGTTATAAATTATAAAAAAAAAATATCTACACTCTACATTCTGGATGGTTCACTCTCATATAGCCTGGCTAAATCAAGAAAAGAGCGACCATAAACAAAACAAAACATAAACAAATCAAATGAAATAAATAATACACCCACAGAACGTTGCTATTAGTCAACGTCCATATTTATATTTTATATATCTTCTATGGTAATATCTTTTATCACTATTGGTACTATTGTTATTTCTATTTATCTTGATGTAACAAATAGTACTTTAACTTAATTTTGAGAACATCTTTTTTAAGGTTGTAAAGAGCGGTTGTTTTTGATTTATTTTGAAGTTGATTCCAGCCCATTAATGCAGAACATTTAAAGGAATGTTTACCGTAGGATTTTGTATTATATGTTTGCACACTCAGTGTACCTCTACAATGTTACAAATTCCTGATCTGCAAAACTGGTTAACGTCTTAAAAGGCATTGGGGGCTATCTATAAATAATGCCAGTAAATATAGAGGGGAGCAAGTACTAAAAAGTTTGACAATAGTTGACAATGGGGAGGGGGGAATTAAGACCAAAATGATGTCAATTTATGAAAAAAAAAATTCAGGTTTATACGAGAAGATTTTAAAGGTATTTACATCTACAATGTGGTATATAAATGGCATATTTGCTTTGTGGGGAATTCAATATAAGTTCCCCAGAGACATGAACTAATTTAAAAATTTTCCAACGTTTTATTATTCTATTACCATTTGACTGAAAATCTAGTTGTTTACAAACATCAACAATTTGAATATAAATTTAATAATCATAATTCGATCTCTAGCGGATTATAAAATGTGCTTCAAACCAAACTCAAAAAGTTATTTGTCATTATTTTAAATACAATTGCCGTTATTATCGAAGATCGCTTCAGTAGATAATGGAAAGATGATGAGTGATTGAATTTATATTATAGATATAGAATAAAAATTTGATTAGTTCGTTATTTGAGGAGGTATCAACTGTTCTATAATATAACTTGCTGAGATCTATTATTATATAAATGTATAACTTAACCAGAAAAAAATCAATAGTGTTTACACATATTTTTAATGTTACTTTAGGGGTGAGGGGTACAAAAACTGACATCATATATAAGAGGGGGTTTTGCCACAAATTGACAGAAATTGAAAAAGGTGGGTGGGGTCAAAAAGTAAGAAAAATCACTGACATCAAGACTTTCAAAATGCATATTTCCTATTTCTTTTTAAAAAACAACATTAACGGCATGCGTTAATGTTGTTTTTTAAAAAGTAATAGGAAATATGCATTTTGAAAATCCTGATGTCAGTGATTTTTCTTAATTTTCTTGAGTCAGATCTCCGAAGATTTTGAAAATTGCTGTTTTTAACCCTTCCCGTTATGTAGTTAAAACAATTAAAACATTTATATTTTAAAAGATATTTATTAAAAGAATATAAAATTACAGATAAAGCAGGATATTTTCTTTTAATGACCAAATAACGTAACAAAATCTAGATATGATACGCAATTAAAATATGTCTCAAATATAGATTTTCTTAACGTTACCTTACGCGTCAGTTTACACTTTTTAAAAGTTGCACTTTTATAAGTTAAAAAAAATGCCCAATTGTGACGTAACTTTGATAATTTTTTTTTGTGACAAATTTCTAAAGATAAATAAAATTGAAGTAACCAATATAACAGACTTATTTAAATACAAAGTATTTTATCTCCTACGACAAAAAATACGCCGAAAAGCCGAATTCGGCTTTTCGGCGTTTTAGAATTAGTCCCAATATTCTATTCAATACTTTTTTCCAGCCTTTTTTGTAAAATCCAGACCGGAATTATTTAAACTTATTCAATCCGTTTATACTCATTTTCTTACAATATTTTGAGAAAAATAGATAATTTAATAAGTTTTTTATATTAAATAATTCTTTTTAATATATTATAGCAAAATTTGTTATAATTTATACACTATTAAAAGCGAATTCATTATTCAAGCACTTATAATATTCGGGTCTAGATTTTATAAAAAACGCTTTGCTCACTGCGACCAACGACCCTATTCGTTGAACTTAATAACCGATGTTTTACGGTTCGGACGTGAATGATACCAACGTCTTTCAAAACAAATAAGCATGTGTTTCCGGGTCCAAGGTCTTTGAAGATCTTTTTCTAATGCTTGAAACTTCCTCCTGGTTTATGCAAAAATACTGCTAACCCAGCTGTTTTAGCTCATGATGTTGTTGCTTTGTTTTTTAACAAAAAAAGTTATTATGCTAAATGTTTATATTATATTTAATATAAATATTTAGCATAAACACTAATATAATTTTAAAAGTTTCTTTCTCCTAAGTATGTTGCCTCATTTGCCATAAATTTTGCCAATACCATTATACAAGTGTTATCTATAAAATGTTTTATAAATATCGCTCTCGTTATAAGTATTTTATTTAAATACAAATTTGTATTTTTATAAAGATTTATTTCTATAAAGATTATTTTTTTTTTTTGTAGGTTTTACAGCTAAAATTTTTTAGCTGTAAAATCTAAAAAAGTTTTATTTTTTGCAATTTTTGGTACAGGTAAATAATTATTTAACATTTTTATTTAAATTTCTTTTTCATTAAATGGTTTTAGTTTTTTAAAATTATTTTTAATGAGTGGCAAAAGTTTAATTGAGAATGGATGGTTTATGGAAAAAAATAGCCAATGGCCAGGTCAGGCATTTTCCCTTGAAGTTGAAGAGATATTGGTTTCTAAAAAATCTCTTTACCAGGATGTACTAGTTTTTAAAAGGTGAGCAATGCTAAGTTAGTTTTATCAAGACTATACTAAAAACACTTAAAAAAAGATATACAAAAAAAATTTGCAAAATAATTGCAAAACACACTACTAACTACTACCCTAAAGCTGATTGGGATTCTTTTCATGATTTCTATTGTTATAGTCCTTGGGCCGGTGTCTTTTCTCTCTAAATAAATGTGCCTCCTGGATCCAGGCAGGTATAGAAGCATTTATTCCTTCTCCATAGTTCCAAATCATTCTACTCCATGGTTTCCACCTCACGCAGCTGCTACATCTCATTTTAATCATTTTTTTCATCTATTTCAAATAAAAGTTCTCTTGATAACCAACACTTTCATTATCTAAAAAAATCAATGTGAAAAGGTGCTGTCTAATACCAAGCTCTATTATTCCCAGTCAACTAGATCTTGTATCTTATCTCAAAAGTTTGGCCCTTTTTTTGACTTCAAAAATCTACAATAGTGTCATTAACAAATGTAAGTCTAACATTCTAGTTTATAAGGCTGAACTTAACCTCACCAAGATTATGGCAGAACTATTTGCAATGCACTTTTCTTCTAATTTGACTCTTGAATTTTATGGCTATACTTTTCCTTCCATTTCAGTTAAACAAGTTAAGCCATTTTAAAACATTCAAATCACTCCAGTTTAAATTGCTAAAGTCACAACTAAATTAAACTTTTTTTATGCTTTGTGGCTCAAAGAACATTCCTTTCATAGTCTTACAAAAGTATTTTCTGGAACTCTCTTCAATTCTTTCTAAACGATTTAGTAAGTACTTGACTGAATCTTGATTTCATACTTTCTGGAAAATGGCATCTGTGGTTCCAATTTTGAATATATATATATATATATATATATATATATATATATATATATATATATATATATATATATATATATATATATATATATATATATATGTTTTGATTATTATTTTAGATTGTTATTTATAGTTTTGATTTGAAAGTTGCTGAAAATTTTTGGTATCTCTAGTTTCCAATAGAAAAAAGGAGATGAACTTTGGTTTTAAAGTAACTGAAAAGTCATTGGTTTTATTTAATTTTTGAAAAAGGTCACCCAAGATAACCCTTGATTACACACTTGCTACCATACATCAGTGAATTTTTTTTTTCTTTAAAAGTATATACAACTCAATTTTATTCGAGACCACTATTATTTATAATATCTCTATGAAATTCTGGTTCTTTTGAGACCCAGGTTGATATACTTTTGAAGAAAAAAAAGTTTACTGATATATGGGAGCCAGTGTGTAGTTAAAAGTTATAGAGGGTGACCTTTTTCAAAAATTAAATAAAAATAATGACTTTTCAGTCAGTTTTAAACCTAAGTTCATCTCTTTTTTTCTATTGGAAAAAGGTCACCCTCTATATGGATATATATGTTGGTGTATAGGGTATCCCAAACTTTTTTTTAAAATTGTATACCCCCACCCTTTAAATGTGTTCTATATAATAAAATTATACTAGAATTAAAGTATTTTTGAAAAATAAAATATCTTTATGGGTCCCTTAAGTCTCTTAAACATCAGACAGGTCCCTAATTTCACTCCTTTCACTCCTTTGATCAGAATTCTGTTTGAGTGACACCATCCTTATCAATCATTTAGTTATTATTATTAAATACTTATAAATAATTTACTTATTATTATATTATTTTATATTATTATTACTATTATATATATGTATATATATATATATATATATATATATATATATATATATATATATATATATATATATATATATATATATATCGATTGATGTTAAATT